CACTCACACTATTTGAAGCAATGTATGCACGTCAGCCCCGCCACAACGAGACATGTTTTTTCCTCACGAGTGGGCTCTCATGCTGCTCTGCGAGCCCCGTCTGATGTGTGTGTTTCATGCCTCGCACTGTGAAGTGTAAACAACAAACCACATGAATTCAGTGTTTGATTAGTGCAGCAGAGAGACGGAGAAAAGAAAAAAAGAATGGACTAATGGAACGAGCGTTTGGGAATGTGCGAGTGAATAGCAGCCATCTGGCCGTGTGGGGATGATGAGAGGCAGCCGGTGGTCGGAGCAAAAGGTCCCCTTGCACCGTTCCATTCCTCCATCGTCAGATCTCTGTGTTTACCCTGCTCACCGCAGGGACTGAGGCACCTCGTTCTCCTTAATCCTGCCCGCCTCTGCGCCTCCCCGTCCCACGTCACAGCCTGGAGGGATGCTTGTGTTTTTTTCACGATTTTTGGATGGAGGGATAGAGTGTGCAGGAGTGGGAGAAGGTAGAGAGCCAATAGGGCGAGGGCGTGCCAGGTAGAGCTGCTTCTTAAAGAAACTAAACATCTCAGGCTTATTGATTTTTGGACAGTCCATCAGATACAAGCTGTTTCAAAATTCAGGGAAAGACTCCACTCCAAGGTTTTGAATGATGTCACATCAAAAAAACATGTTCAAGTGATGCACAAGCGTTCCAGATATTTCAATTTCTTTCAAAAAGGCAGCCCAAGAATGAGATTTATTAGGTGTAAATATCTCACTTGCACATTGCGTTTCCTTCAAATGTAGTGGTGCTGCAGAGTCTTAAAGGGTAGCTTTGATTTTGGATAAACTGCACTCAGGTCAGTGAATCACAGCTACACCATTAAAATACTCATGGAAAACTAAAGAAACACTTCCTTTTGAGTTCAAAGGTTGCACTTAACATTGAACGATTGTGCAAAAAATGGCGTTGAGTGACAATGTTTGTATCTTTTCCATCACCGTTCCCTTTCCCACAAATTCCAGTCCCATAGCACACGGTGAAACATCGGGCAGCGGGAGCAAAACCTGACGGATGTTTCAGTCTCTGCGGTGTGTCACGCATCCAAAAGTTAACCTCAGCGTTGCACAGAGCAATGAGCAGTGTCAAACTGTCAACATATTTATTGAGCAATCGCTCCTCGAGACTGTTATTGAGAGTGGTAGTGCCGCACCAAAAAGCTGGACTTGCTTTCAGAGTTTGGAGTCTTTCATCAGAGCCAGGTGTTCCCTGGAGAGACTCAGCTGCCTGAATTCCCAACCTCACATACAGGAAGCAGCTAATGCCCTTTTAACCCTCTCTGCTTGTGTGTGCCTGTGTGGTTACATGAGTGTGTGTGTGTGTGTGTGTGTGTGCGCATTATTTCATCCCCCTCTTTGGACACTCTGTCTTTTCCCTCATCCACCTGGAAAAAGTGACTCATACAGGGAAAGTGTTTTCTCATGAAGGGAGCAAAGAGGTACAGCTCAGTATTTCTTCAGCGTCATAGTCCAGAGAGTCTAAGACCTTCCTGTTGCTGTTGCAGTCGTCTTCTCGAGATTAGATCACTGTTACTACTCCCTCCTTTCCAGAAGTATAACCAAAAAACATGTTTGGCCTCCAACTAGTCCAGAATGCAGCAGCCAGGCTTCTTTAACGAAGGATGTCACAACATCGGCTACCAGTTACTTTAAGAAATGTTTTTTTTTTAAATGTTACTCATATCTTAGAAAGCATGAACAGGTCTGGCTCTGAGCTGCACTGACCACTTTGAGCCAGTGTGCATCCTTAAATCTCCAGGTGGGGCTCTTCAGGTCATTCCAAAGTCAAGGCTTAAATCTTAAGGAGATTGTACTTTAGCCATCAGGGCCCCTGGACTTTGGAATAATCCACCTGTGAAGATAAGGCACTCAGAATCAGAGACATATTTGAAAGCACTTTGTTAATACTCACTTTTAGAGACTTTTTTTTTTAAAAGGGATGTTTTCTCTCTTATGTATTACTTTTAGAATTTGATTGCTGTTGTGTCTTTTATTCGTTTTTATTTCTATATCTCCTTTCTTTTATCTCTCTTTTGTTTTCCTTTTTTTGTCTTGTCTCATTTATTTTTTTGCGCTTTTTATTTCTATTTATTCTTTCTACTTATTCCTCCTTCATTTTATGTCTTTGACTGCTTTTTCTATAAAAAAAAAATGCTTAACCCTTTCTTTTCAGGATTTATAAAGTTATTTAAAAAAATATAAATATTTTGTCACATTGGTCTTGGGTGTTGATATTGTGGAAAATATTTTGTGACTTTACTTTTTTGGCTTGGATGTTAAAGCACTTTTGTAAAGTATTTTTTTAAGATGCTATACAGATTAATTCATTTTGATGATTATGATTGTGACTATAATTATGATAATGATGATAATGATGACGCTCCCATTAAAACAACTTTAATTCTATTTCATTTGAATAAATTGGAGACAAGTTGAACAGATGTTATAAAGCAGATTGTTTCATTATAACTGAAATACCTCTCCTCCTGTTCATATGATGTCATATGTTGATTTGTGACATGTTCGGTGTTTCTAAAAATAAATACGTTCTTGACCTCAGATACTGAGAAAATGTCAAGCTTTGTAGGTTATTTATCACAAACTTTCAGGGTGTAGTCCAAAGTTAAAGCTTTGAATGGGTCATATAAGTGTAATGGAGGTGTGGTTATAGAAGTCAAGTGGGGATGAGTGGGGCTGGTGGTGGTGGTGGTGGTGTGGGGTGGGGGTGGGGTGGGGGGCCCTCGTGATATCTTTTCATGGAGCCAAGAATTCCCGGTGACGCCCCTGTTTACACTCAACAGATGAGCCTGATGGATTATCTGAAGGTGAGCATAAAAAACACAGCCTCAGAAGGGTCTGCAAACATTTTTCATTTCTAAATCAACTACTTCCACATGCTGAACCAGATGGTTGAGCAGCTTGCCGTGGCGTGGAAATAGCAAAGTCAGACAAACTGTAATATGATCCCCAAGAAGGCTTCCAGGGCTGTGGGAGTACAGAGCATCCACATTTGATTATTGCTGTGCCAACTGCCAGATTTTTTTTTTTTTGTTTTCTAGCTGCATGGATAATGACATTGTTTGTCTAGGAACTTTCTCTAGTAAATAGTTGTGTTCGCTTGTGAAAAACTAAATGAAAACTGACATTTATCCAGCTCATTTTCATGTGCTTACAGTACAGGGACACCATTCAGGATCTTAGGTGCTGCAGCTTGTAGCACAGAAATGCAAAGCCAGATGAACTCCCATCGAGTGTTTTCAATTACATTTTGAAGGCAAACATTCATATTTGATTTCAGGATGGCTAGCCACAATTGATTTCTTTATCCTCTTTAAGGCATTCATTACCATGGCTTTCCCAATTCACCATTGGAAATCTGCTGCTCGCTGGCTCTCTGCTTATCATGATACATTATGACGGCTTAAATGCTCTTCATTTCCCTCCGCGACATGTTAATGATCAGCTGCAAAAAAAAAAACCCTGAGGCAAAGACACAGAAGCTCATAAAACTTGAACTCTCAGAGGCAGCGGTGTCCAAGTCTGCAGAAGATGAAGACAGAACTTATAAAAGAAGCCGAAATCTACTGGGGGAAGAATTAAAGCTCTGTAGGGAATTTGGATGACTCACAACCATGCAGCCAAGCAAAACATAAGACAGACACAAACACTCACACACACACACACACACAGTCCCACAGCCTCCATTGGTAGCAGATTTCTGTTGGCATAGCGGGAAAACAACAAAAGATGGTGGTCAACAACCACTGGCAGTTCTTGAATGTGGTTCCCTCCCACACATCCAACACGTTTATGGAACAAGCTTGATCAGAGTAGGACTGCGTGCACAAGCAATTCAAAGAGGTGAGCTACCCCTCATGGTGAGATGCTACAGCTACTGTTTATAAGTTATATTTGTAAAGTTATTAGTAGAGATATAATGTAAAGTTATAGGCCTAGTTAAGGTATGATGCAATGACATGGTGGTCATATAAAACCATAAAATATAGCTTCTTTCTTTTTATATAACCCAACCACCCCCCCCCCCGCCCCCTAGTGGGGACTTATTTCCCTCTCTTATTTCATTCACATCTAAAACATTATTTATGAAACATTTTCTTTCTTTTTGTCTTTTCTGTCTTAGAAGTGCAGTTTAGTGTGAACAGGTGGTGATTACATAGAGCACAAATGATACACAAACACAGAGCATTCTTCCATTATCAGATAAAACAAGAAAATCAACAGCATACAAAAAAACGAAACAATGTCGGCCTATCTCACAAACAGTCATAACATTTCGCATAACAATATTACCAACTGGCTCAAAACTCATCAAAACACAAGGGAAAATGTATTTTGTGTACAGATTACAATAGAATAGACACTAAAATAACTTTCAATTTGTATTAGTTTTTCGCGACCCCCCCATCTTGGTGGCTTGCGACCCCCTGGTGGGTCACGAGCCCCACTTTGTGAAACACTGCCCTAAAGGACATATTGCCTGAGTCAAGCTAACTCAGTGAAGCAGAAGAGTGTCACACCTTGAGGAAGTTTTAATTAGGTTTTAATGTTTTATTGTTTGGGACAATAACAATAATCAGACAGATTTATGTTTGAGTCACATGTAGGCTATAAAGACCTCAGAGGTGTTGTTCAACTCCTGTTTTTAAAATGTTTAGGTGGAGTCAAGCAAGAGTTGTAGTTTTTTAATGCCTATAGAAAATATCTTTATCACCTTCTGTCCTCTGGAAACAAGATTCAGTAGCCTATAAGCCAAGTTTGTTTTGAGTCTGAAATAAAAACCGAAAACGTTGCTACTAAAACTTCCCAGAGTGGAAAAAGTGCTTGAATTGTTTAATGACTTCACTGCAGCCAATGATTTTTCCATCCTAGGCCTCCTGAACAGTTCACATGAGTAACTTCTAGCATGAGGAGCCTTTTTTTCTTCTTCAGCACTTCTAGGAGACTCCCAACAAAAACCCGCAGCTACGTGGGTGCTGAGGTGCTGTACGTGATTGGCGGGAGGGATTGTGTGTGTCTGGCTGGCTGGGAACCTGCTACTGGTTTCCCATCTATCCACTCACACACACACACACACATACACACACACACACAGCCGCAGTCAGTCAGACAGACGGTCGGTCTCCCCGCAGAGGCGGCAGGCAGAGGGAACAACAAACACTCCTCCTCCCGCCTCGCAGAAACCAACAACTGCTGTAGAAGTGAAGTCGACGCGATGTTTAGTGCGAAATGCTCCCGTTCAGTCTGAGGAGAGAGGAGTTATAGTGAGGAAAAAGGCTGCTGGAAGTGGGTGAAGTGTGACAGCAGCTGGAGAAATACACCGACGGGTTTGTGGACCGCACGTGGAAAGCACCAGTGAAACACACAGAAGGTAAGAAACCTTAAAACTCCACACTGCACTTCTGCTAAAAGGTATTTATGAGCGTTTTCAACACTAAAAAGTTGTATTCATGCTTTGCAACTGGGAAAACACCGGTGTTTGAATGCTGTTGATTAGAATTTGGCATTCCTACTGCGCCAATCACCGAACCAAACACTTTGCGGTTAAATTAGAAGGAGTGCGCGTCGCTTCTTCACCTGTTCGTCCACTTGCTGCGAGTGTCCTTTCTTAACCGACTTCATGAAGTAAATAGTGCTTGTTTTAAATTGTTTCGACGAGACATTCTGAATACAAACACGGTGAGGACGTACTCGTCACCTTAGCTCTCCAAAGTGAGCACAACTCCACGAAACACAGTCGTTATTGTGTTTTCAGGTGTTCCTGGAGTTGATCCGCAACACCTCTGCGTTGGACCTTCTGTAGCCACCGTGTGTTGACAAACAAAGTGAAATGCATTCGTGTCATGCAAAATATGTTTATGGTCAATATTAAAAGTATTGACACCCCCGTATGTCTTTTGCAAAGTGCTAATTTTCAAGTGAAATATCTGTTGGCTCTCAGACGAATGTATGGCTATTTGGGTGTTGGCCAACTTGACTACCTGCATAGTCTACGTCTGGGGTGTGCAACTGGCGGCCCGCGGGCCACATGCGGCCCCGTCAACCCTCAATGCGGCCCTCAGGTCAATTTTTACATATCCATTAATTAATAAACATGACAAAATCTGCCATGAAATCATGAAAACCAGAAATATGTCCATAATAATTAATAAAACTGAGTTAAATTTGAGACATAATTGACTGTAATCGTTCTTTCTATACTACAATTTGGCCCTCTGGCAGTGAGAATTAAAATAATGTGGCCCCTTGCTGTGACCAAAGTTGCCCATCCCTGGTCTACGTGTATGCTGCATCTGATTCATCATCCTTGTTGTGTTTCTCCAGCAGACTGTGCATTGTATTATTAAAGCTTAACTGTTGAAAACATAATAATAATTATTATATTATCCTTGGTGGTTGCTTCTGTCTCAAGATAACAGCAGCACAGAGAAGTTCGGTGATACTCACCAGGCCAGTTGGTTTTTGCAGCTGTGCTAAATAAATGTTTGCTGAACATACAATAGCCTACCAGTGTGCAATGAAGCCGACCCGGCTGAAGGCATTTTGTATCAATTGCATTTGAAGGCAGTTGTCTAGGGGGCAGAGTATTATCTCAATGACCGGTTGATTGTTGTCATAGTTTTCCATATACCTTTTTAAGTGCCACTCAAAAATACTTCATAATGACCAAAACTGTATTGCATCAAGGTATGGATCCTTAGAAGGAGCAACATTCAGAGTCCCATACTCTTTTATTTAACATGTTTCATGTTTTAGAAACTGTCTATTTGCTGAGTCTATATATATATATATATATATATATATATATATATATAAAGAGCTGCTTGTATTTAAATGTCAGTATGAGGAGCAATTATCACTGCTAGGTCTCTGTGACAGGTCTGGATCCGCGACGTAGTTGGGACTCCAAATAGCTGTGGGGCCCGTTATCCTACCCTTGTGCCTCCCAGTGGCATTAACTAACCCACTTACAATAAATGATTGCTTCCCCCCTTTGCAAAAGTTCAAGACTTAATTGGCTCTGGCATGCCATAAAAGATAAGCTTGTATCTTTCCCCATACTTCAGTGTCCAATTACAGTCGGCGTAGTGTAAACTGTTGAGCTGGCTCCCTCCCTGTGTGTCCATCACCTCAGCCTGTTCTGCTGCCGGAGAGGATAGATATCTTTGAAGGTAGACATAAAGACATACATGTAAAGAGGATCATCAGGTGAAAAGAGGAAGAGAAAATCAGCCTGTCAGAGTTTCTAAAATGACAGTAGGATTTGAGTCCTTGAGGAGTCTGACTCAGTTACAATGTCGCCGCCTCTCAGCATTACACAAATTAAACCGCCTTTGCAATAATCATAAGCAAAATCTTTGTTTTGCAATACATAAATGGAGAAGTGGTTGTGTTTTTAGTCTGTTAACGCAGATTTTTTGCTGACTTTGGTTCCATGCCTATCATCTATCTACCAACTCTATTATTCTGGATATCTAGCACTGCCAGAGTGTGCTTGCTTTTAGCTCAACCTTATGTAAACCAATTATGTGCACTTTAATATTGTTATTGCCTCAAGCCATTTGCCGGTGTATGACTGAGTCATTGTAGTATGATCCCTGCAGTTGTTCTCTAGAAATCTATTTGGAAGTGCTCTTCGTTTGCTTTCCTACTGTTTACCCACCACTGTTTAATCTCCCCCGAGTGTTTTATTGCCACAAGGTGCTGTGCTATAAGGATGTGCTCATGATGGGGTCCTGGCACGTCATTCATTGATTCATGTTAAGCCCATGCCAACTTAGCACTATATATCATTCTATAGCTAGTTAATCACATGTGAGTGTAAAACTATTCAATCTGCTGCTTTGAGGGAGGGCTTCTCTTTTTTTTTTTTATTCAATGATCTCCTCAACATCAATTAGACATCAACAGGATCTATCTATTCTTGTGTTCGGGAATCTTTGGGTGTCTCACGTTTCGATTTTGATTCTTGGGATCACGATTTCATTGAGAAACTATTAAAGTTTCAAAACGTTTCTGGATTCATGATTCAAAGTTTATTTTTGAAGTAGTACTAGTTCAAGTATGTATACTTCAGACTCTACTCAAGTCCTCTGGGAGCACGGCTGAATTTCTTGCTGATCCATTTGGCATTCTGCTGAGTTAAAGAGCTACATTAAGCACTTAGCAGGGAGTGACTGATTAGCCAAAAAACAAGTCAATTGGAAGATTTGAGACTATTTAAAATCTCACAAGATAAGAATTTTGACTTTTACATAAATAGATTTTTCCCCACCTCTACACAATTCAGCTGCAGGATAACGAAGAAATAACCAGAAAGATCTTTAGCTCAAATGTTTTGTATCCTTTTCTCTCTCATTTTCTATTGAGAACACTTCAAACAAACTGCTGCATTGCTCCCTTCGGAATAAAAGATCCTAAGAATTTCAGTGTGTGCCTCTCTCACAGTTCAAATTATGGGTGCGAGTGTGAACGTGGCTTTCCTGGTTGATCGTCTGATATCAGTGAAATGTATAATATTCTGGGAAGTGACTGCTAAACAAAGGAAACCCAGAACTGTCCAACTGTTTTCTTAAAGGCTTTATATGCAATGTTTTTTTTTTTTTGATCCAGCAGATGTCGCCCTTGAGCACCAGCATGAAACCAAAACAACTCGCGGTGCATTGTTGTGTTAGCATGCTAATGCTAGCGATCTTTATTATGCTCGTATCTTCACACTGCATGTAAATTTAACTGAAATGAGCGTGATCTAGAAACACAGTTAAGCAGTGAGTACAGTATGTTATTCTTCTTTTCTCTAGTCCCTCAATTAAACAACTTTTATTCGCGAGGGGAGGAGTCAGCCGGCCGTCCGGGCGATGTAAACAAACTGAAGATAGGACTCTGAAAACATCACAGACAGTGGGACTCGGGTGTTACACCCATTGTAGACAGTCATGACTCACAGAGTTATTTTCAGAGGATATACTTGATTTCTATTATATTTAAGTGTGAAAAATCGCATATTAAGCCTTTAAACAACCGACCTTCCCATGATATATTGTCCTGTCAAAATGTGCTAACATAGATTGTGAAAAGAGAGAGCAGGTTGGAACTCAGTACAGCTGAATGTAACATGCTCTGTAAAGAACATAATGGTTGGATTGCATATTTCTCTTGGGAATGTTGAGATAAATTATTAACCCTAATAGCATTGTGCAGGATTGTAGTTTACACTCCTAAAGCCCTTTGTAGCTGTATCGTCTTTACAATATATGCTACAACAGTACAGGAGATTTGTCTAAAATCAAGCACATTCGAACACTTGTGGATGTCTGAGATAGAAGAGCAACTGTGGGAGCTTTGTTAACTGGTGATGGAGAGATCTGGTCTGGCTACATCATGCCTGGAGTCTTATCAAGCTTGCATAAGCTGTCCTACCATTGTACTTTTTTTTTTTTGACAAAGTATTTACAAAGCTTTGCTGTTCTGTTCTGAGAAAGAAAATCTAAGGCCTTAAAGTTCCACAATCCAGCCTCAAAGTAAAGCTACCATTGAGATGGAGAGACTTCTCCTGGATTCCCTGATGGCAGATTTGGAGAAAAAGAGTGAAAAAAATATTGCTAAAAAGATGGGCTCTCTTTTACTGACTTTTATGCTTTGTGTTATGAAATACCACAGAGAGTTTTTCCTCAGCATGAACAGGAATGTGTAGTTTTACAACATCATAATTCTTCAATTTATTGGCCCTTTTCAACTGTCATGACTTGTAAGTGACCTGAGATTTTAACAATTTGACTGCCCTTGTAAAAACTGACTTTTGTCTTTTTTATGTAACTCAATGCTGCACTTGCGAAAGGATTTGATTTTGATACATCACAGGCTGGCGCTGACACCATGAAAACAGCGGGGTAGATGGCATAATCTCTCAATTATTTGACGAGAGGTAACAGCCACCATCTGTTCTTGTGGTGACGCTGGATGTGGCTCGCTCAATGTGACACCGTCGCGTGACATCACTCTGTAAAGATGTTATCTGTGAAGACGGGTGAACTGAGGGAGGTCTTTCTGTGAAAATCAAGGCCGTGAGTTGTTCAGAGCCGTGAGTCAACATGAGAGACATGCATGAGAGGCTGCAGATGAGGGAAAGTGTTTTACTTCATTCATGCATCTTTAGGAGTGCAGCGGGAATGAAAGAAAGTTTCCAAAGTCAGTCAGATGTGAGTGGGAGGAGTAGATATAGAGGATGAATTGCTTCTTGTGGAGGATTATATTATCTGCTTGAGTTTGTTATCTTGGCAGACAGAATCATTATTTCATTCCAAATGCTGAACTGATATCCTTCTGTACATCATACTCATTCAGCTCAAGTGAAGTTGACACTTGATAGAT